CATGTGAACACACACACACACACACACACACACACACACACACACACACACACACACACACACACACACACACACACACACACACTGAATCTATGATGAATCCATGTTAGAAACCTTCTAAAATGCATGCATCACTGAGGACGCCGTGGGTTGCCATGTGGTTGAAATACGGCTTGTGACTGTTTGACAACAGGTTCAACTCCCTTAACTGGGAAAGGCACTCACGGTCTCGGCTGGAAGAGCCTAACCTTTGCATTGCTAATAATAAGTGCATGTGTGTGTGTGTGTGTGTGTGTGTGTGTGTGTGTGTGTGTGTGTGCGTGTGTGTGTGTGTGTGTGTGTGTCGGCGGCGGGGTTTACAATCTGTGACTCCCCACCTGAACCTCGTGCTGTTGCCACCCCTTCACCACCCAAGGTAAAAGAGTCTAGAGCCGCCACTGCTCACTGGATATTGTAAAAAAGTTCCTGCAGTTTGAAAGAGGAACTTATGCTAGACATTTCCAACCACTCTGACGTGGCACATTAGTGACATCATCAGGGGAGCTGCAGGAAATTATCCAAATTCACTTAATTTGTTGCTTCTTTCATGATTGCAAATATTTGTTCGTCTACAGTATTACGTCATATAAGATGTACAAAAGCTTTCTAATGGCATAGAAACGTTCAAAACCTAACCATGAGAGAAGAATGTATCCAGAAATTGACAAGAGGGAAAACAAATATTTGCAGAAAGCAAGCACTAAGTTCACACTGATGATCCTCCGAGAGTTTCACTGTTGTCATGGAAGAGGACCAGCAGCGGCAATAAAGTTTGACTGGAGTGGAGCGATTGTGTGTTGGGCTAATAGACATCTCATTAAATGAAATGGAGTTCACCAGAGCATCAAAGCGGGTGCGGCACGAAAACTATTGCGGCCGACATGATTGAACTGTTCAACTGCTTTTAGAGGCAATCAAAAAACAGATCAACGGACTCGAGATGAAAATGTCACGTGTGGAAACTGATTACACAAGTGTTTATGAGGTAAAATGATGACTCATCAGCGGTGCTCATCTTAATGTTTTCAAGATATTGCTTGCTTGTTTACTGCTCAGCCTTCTTAGGCTGTAATCTCACTGCAGGTACAGCACCTACATTTGATTTTTCGTGATCCATATCCATATTCCGCTTGCTTCATGTCATTTTATCTATTGGTAGAGTATTTATTGCTTGTGTCATTTCTCTTGGTTCGTCAGAGATTTACAACACATGACTCTTTTTCACCAATCCAATGGAGGCAGACTGTTTCATGAATGCACACGAACAATGATGCACAATTTTCAAAGTGATGTGTGTTTTACATTTTTTTTGTTATTTTATTTTATTTTTAAATAAAACATGGCGGGAGTCTACACTTGGAGACCGGCTCCAGCTCACCCCCGCCTAACTGGGGTGAATGGCTATTACAAAAAAAAAAAAAAGTATGGATGGACTACAAACCAACCATTGTCTCTTACATTTGACTCAAATGTCAGCATTTCAGCCTACAATAACTCCACTTGCAACCTGAGGAACATACAAGAGGCTGTTTCAGTGTGTGCTTGCAAAATGCAATGCTGTATTCGAAATGTCTCTCACTGGAGAAAGTGCATTCAACAGGAGCAGGAAGAAAAGCAATCTGCAATGCCCAGCACTGATGGCAAAGATGTAAATGAATAATCAGAAAAAATAATACAAAACAATACACAAAGGTGAATCTGCGGATGCCAGACCTTGAGTGTACAGGGATCTGCTAATTCTGAAGTTACCAGTTACTCAGTACATGAGTCGGGGTTTTTTTCACTCATTCAATGTTACTCACATAATTATTTTGAGGGCTACCTTCTCCTTTTACTTGAGGGATATTGTTCTCGTGTAACAAGGGTCTTAGTCGCGTGCAATTTCTGGCTACTCACTTGGATGGTTCTCTACCCAGCCTCGGGTCCCTAGGTCATTACATAACTATTTTTAATCTGCTTGTGTGTGCTTGTGTGTGTGTGTGTGTGTGTGGGTGTGTGTGTGTGTGTGGGTGTGTGTGTGTGTGTGTGTGTGTGTGTGTGTGTGTGTGTGTGTGTGTGTGTGTGTGTGTGTGTGTGTGTGTGTGTGTGTCCTTGAGGACCTCCATCGGCAGGGGTTACTTTTAATCCATGTCAAGCACTTTGAGTTGCATGTAATGTCTGAAAAGCACCGTTTGATTGACTGATACGTTTCCAAACTCTGGTGTCCGAACATGAACCTTCCTGCTTTTCAGGAAGGTGTGTTTCGTATCATATGTGACAATGTGAAAATTTACATTGGGAACAATTTTTTCCAACCCTACTTACATTGCATAATTGAACTAAGAATAAAACACAATAGTTCACATTGAATTCTATGTGGACCAATTAATGGACATACGGGGCATCTAACTCCAGCTTTACTCAAAACATCTGTAAAAATAAAGCCTTCCTCTCAAATAAACACTGTACTTCAAATTAATACCTAGTATTCATTGCAGTTACGTAAATAAATTCAATCCAACACTTAACTGCGCACCCAAAAAAGAAATATGAGGTGTGACTCCATTTTGCAAATGATACAAATCGTGCCAGATGTTGTTTAAATGCCACAGTGCGAGAATTCATAACATCGACCATGACGAGTCACTTTGCTGGCAAATAACTTGAGTGATCATAAATCGCATGTGTCAAGACCATTAGTGAGACGCTGTGCCATAAAAGCTGGAGGAAAAAAAAAGTGCGAGCAAGCACATTTGGAAACAAGCTCACGCGTACTGCAGCTCCGCAGGGTCCTGCCGAAAGATAGCTTTGAGCCCTTTTTGTTCCCATGAACCTTCTTCAGTAATGGATAATGAAAAATAAATGCTGGAAGGCACCGTTTCGCCACTGTGTATCATTTTGCATATTAATCCGGGATGAATAAATATATACAGGCTCACATGTATTGTGCATATGGAAAAGACAGTACGCATGTACTGTAAATGCAATGCGCTTAGTTACTGACTGTTATGCTCTTGCTCCTCCTCAACGTTCCCCATCACCATGGCTGGAACTCCAAAGGCTGAGGCCAACACCCACACACAGATATTCACCACCTGAACAAAAATGACAAGTAATTAGTTTTCAAGTAGCGAGGCAGAAGGCTCAATTATAATTGCCCAATAGGCCAATGAAAGCCGCCCCCGCTTAGGTTCTTTGAGCGGAACTGACAGTGGTGTGTCCCTAGAGAGAGCGCTGACAGGAAAAGGAAGTCAGAATGTCACACTCGGGTAATTATTGAAAAGAAAAAAAAAAAAAGCAACACAATGAGATAAATGTATTTATGGGATTCATCATGTTTTGTGATTTAATCATTGGTCTGCAGTCAAAACTCCAAACAAATATTCTAAAGGAAGAAAAACAGAACCATCTATCAGATTTGGTGCAACGTGGCCACAATGTAGAGCTGGACACTGTTTGGCTTAATGTCCTGTTCTAATTTAGTGCCCATCTAAATATTCTTGTACATCAGAGTGATAACAGAAACATTAAATATGATGAAATTGAAGAATATTACATAATTTTCATGCATATTCAGAGTGGGAGGGGGAAAAAAAAATCTGAATTTCCTTGTAAATCCAGCCTTGTGCTTCATCACTCACATCGCATATTTGTATTTTGTTTACATTCTGTTGTGTTTGTATGCTAAGCGCACGTTTTTACCTTGGCCTTGTGAGGCGTCCTCATGTCCAGAGCTTTGACGGGGTGGCAGACAGCCACATACCTGTCAATGCTCATCACTGTCAGCGTGAAGGTGCTGGTGAACATGTTGTAATAGTCGATGGACACTACCGCTTTGCACAAAGCGTTGCCAAACGGCCAGAAGCCCAGAAACACGTCAGTGCCCTGGAAACAGTCCCAAATGAAAACAATGAGCATGTGGAGCTCACATCGACACTCAAGCGCTTCCATGGAGAGTTCATGAATCAGTCAAGTGGAGCGTGAAACCGCTTCACCTTTCGCTAGCGCTGTTAATTGATCCTTACACAGATTAGACTTCATTTGCACATTAATTATAAATGGAAATAATCATTTGGCCTTGATCACTTTGGTGAAAAGATAATTTGAGGCCACTGATTGTTTGTCTTTGTTTGTGAGATTGCACAGAGAACTTGGTGGATGAATGTTTTGTGTGCTCGGGGGGCCGAAACATGTATTCACTTTATATGCATTGTTGACACCACACTCGTAACGCAAAATGCTTCGATCTCAAATCCTCTTTTTGTTAGTGGGTATTGCTTTGACTCAACATTGTGCCTCTCCTTCTGTTGGTCACGTCTTGGCCATGTGGGGACGGTATAATGAAGATATACATGAAGAGAAGGTCAGCCGTCAGCAAGCTTCATATTATGAAGTCATATTAAGTCATATTAGTTGTTCTTTGTATAGGATAAAGAATATATGCCTGTGAACATTGTTTTATTGTGTGTCTAAATGTGTGGTTGCACTGTTTGTGTTCATATATCTATTGCTTAGAGCCCAGGTGTCAAAGTCAAGGCCCGGGGGCCAGATCCGGCCCACCACATCATTTTATGTGGCCCGCGAAAACAAATCATCTGTGTCAACTTCCATGATCCTTGCTGAAATATGTAAATCTCAAATTGCCATACGTAATAAATAACGGTGACATTTTGCAATAATTCTGTTCCCCTGTTTACACTCACCTGAGCAATAATTGAACAAATACTTGACTGATTTCAAAACTAGTGAGCCATCATTTTTTTTGTGTACAAGTACTAATGCGATGTGATGATTAAACATTTATTCGGTTGCACTGTCTTAACAGCCCTCCGAGGGAAGGTGCAACCCCAAAGTGGCCCGTGACAAAAATTAATTTGACACCCCTGGCTTAGAGCGTTATAATGCCGCGACATCGATGTCATGAACTTTAAATTTTGATTATTTGGGGATTTTGTTCGGTGACTATTTACAGTTTTTCTCAGTGCCTTATTCCTCTTTGTGTTTCTAGAAATATTTTTTTCATTCTGCCTGACCTCTTTGCTTCATTGCATGTGTGTCCTCCAGTTTTTGTAACACTCCACAACGCAAACTCGTCTAGGTGCCATTGTGACAATACCAGTAGATGCTATTCATTAGCCCATCTATGGCATTTTACATTGTTTGTTAACATTAGCTCAGCTGAAGTAAAGTAATGCATCTCTTTTAAATGTGTAGCGATAATTCTTGAACTTTTATGTCTAGTTTGACAGAAAACTTCAACTGGGAATGGCATTAAAAAGCTGAAAGCCTATTTTTTGAAGAATTGTTCACTATTTGACAAACCGCTGCTCGTTTAGATATTTCATTCCGTTAAATTGTTGTGTTTGACAATTTTGAATGAATAAAGCGCTCACCTGGAATGGTAACGTGGCAAGGAATAAAGAGTCAGCAAGAGCCAGATTGAAGATGTAGATGTTAGTGGCTGTCTTCATCTTAGTGTACCTATAGAGACACACACACACACACACACACACACACACACACACACACACACACACACACACACACACACACACACACACGCAAATACTGTTTCAGTTAGTCTGCATGACAAATAGAAGCATGGCGGTGACACTGTGTAAAAATTCTAAGGTGCGCTGTCTGTTGTTTGGAGGGGCGGAGAGGAGCACTTTAATCAGACCTTGCAGATTTGGAATTCGTTTAAAGCATCACTCTAAACCAGCCGGTCCTGGTATCACTGGACTGACTTGGACCTTTTCAAGTGATGTTAATGCGAGTGATGGAACTAGCTGCACACAAGTTGAAATAGTAACCACTGGAGCAGTTTTGTGCAAATCCACATCCACAAACTGAGGTTTGGCATGAAAACTGGCACGGGCAGACAGGAGTGAGACGGCTGCTCTGCACCTATTTCCAAGGCAAAATAACACATGTAATATTTTCCTTTTTTCAACATACGAGAGGATTCTACACCAATGCAGACATCCAGGTATTTCGCAAGATGTTTCTAGATAGAAGTTTGTTGGGAATACATGTTATGATTGTAACTGTCTCCAGTGTCTGCATATATCAGGTCTTTGGACTGATATGAGATATACAAAGCGGCATGTTACAGAGCTGGGAGAGCAGAAGACCCAGAAGATCAGATGTGGGCAGAAACTTAGTGTCACATCGCAAAGAGGGTTGTTTGTGTTTGTCTGGTCACTTCCTGTTTTATTTTGAAATAAGGACGCTTCTCTCGTTTCAGGTCCAGCCTCTCACCACAGATCTGACCAGTCCTTGCCTTGTTTCCACAGCCTTGCCTATTTTGAGTTTTCAGCCGCTGATCCTCAAATAAATATCTCCTTTACTCTGAACCCCGCAACTGTGTCCTGTGTCCAACCAAGCCTGGTATTGACACTTTCTCCAACAATAAACATGACCACCTCTCATCCCACACAAATATGATCAGGATTTGGCCTGCAATAAACAAAGGGGAAAAAAAAGCAAAAAGCAAAAAAATGTAACCGCAAAATACCAGTCAACAAGTACTGTTTAATGAAGAACGTGAGGAGTATACACAGGAAGATGTTTGAAGTGGGCAAATTTCATTCAAAGCATATCCTCATAAAGCCTTTCACCAAGGGCCAACTTAGGACTTATTAAATTGGTTATCGAGTTCCGTGATCGAGTGCGTAATCATACTAACTAATGAATCAACCAACAAACAAATTAGATGGTGACTCAACTCCCTATTTGCACTTGGCACAAGCAATCAGCAAGCTTCAAAGCCCCATTTCGGCTCTGTGAATTCAAGATGTGGAGGGTCAGCAAGGACGTACTGCATGCCGAGCTGTGTTATTATACTATGATAGCATTTTAACCCAGCGGTGTCAGCCCAGGATTCACATTTTGCTATTGACGTCAAGTCGTGACTCATTTTCAGAGCACTTAAGAACAATAAAGAAAACGCATTGTTATGGAATAGCCCTCATAGCCATAAACTTGACATAATGACGAATCGTGCGTGCTTACATGTTCAAAGTGCCTTTCAGAGCCCCTTAGTAGAAACTGAGGATGAACATGTCAACTGAATGAATGAAATATCAAAAGCGCAAAAATTCAATCATAGAAGTACACCAAAATCTTGGCACTAATCTCTTCTTTTTTAGGAAGGAGCCAAACATTTCTCATGCAAACCTGTCAAAAACAAAATAAAACAAAGCAAAATAATAATTTCCAAAATAAAAGGCATGTCCAACCTGGACTAAATCTTAACATTTCGTTCTCATGCATCGACATAGCATAGCATGACCTGCCATAGTCTGTCACTCATCTAAACACGGGAGTAAAGTCGTAGTTAGTGTAGCCATTTGTGTGAAAACCACTTGCGCTAACTGAGCAGACCAACTTGTGTCATGTGACCAAGGGTTCTTATGCCACTGCGCAAAGTAGTGATCGTGAAATGCTGCATGTCAATACCACCGTAAAGCAAAGACCTCGAGTAAAGTTTTACTACCTGTTAGCAACCCCAACTCGCCAGTTGAGAATCACTGCTTTGAACATGTTTGGCCATTGGAACTATTTAATAAGATAAGATAAGATAAGAAAACCTTTATTAGTCTCGCAATGGAGAAATAATGAGGGACAGGATCTTTATTGCACTGAGATGTGCAGACATTTTTTGTTTCTTCAACTTTATGAGTGAACTCAAAGCTGTACAGCTTCAAGCAGATAACTTTTCCTTCATTTCCTTTAGTTCACTTCCTTCGCAGCTGATGCTGCGCTTGTTAAGTTCACCGCACCATCCCTTGTCCAATTGGTTTATAAACTTTCCTCAGTCATGACTTCCTCGGTCACACCTCTCCTGGTCGATCTTCAAGCCGACTCCCCGCGTTTCCTCTTCTCTCCATTAAAGTTGGAGGGAGGAACCAGGATGAAAGGAATTTGCAATCTGATGACTCTTTCATCCGGCGTGCTGTTCGCTTTCAAATATTAATCATCATTTTGAATTATTCACGCCCGGCAGCCAGCGCTGTGTTGGCTCATCACTGCATGAACAGAAAATATACTGTCAAAGGAGCTATTAACTTTTTCAGGCCTCTATTTTAAACACAACACTGCATTAGCGTAATTGAAGATGATTGTCTCGTTTTCTTTCACACAACAAATTCTCCAATCTAATGAAGGCAAAGAGGGATTCTTTAGCACAGACTAGCTGTTGACACCACATAAGGCTGAAAATATTTTTCTGGATGCCGAATTTCAATATGCAAAAACAGCAGACAATTACCAAGGACATCTTGGACATTGAATGCACGGAGTCATGCCCTCCCTAACGTCTCACATCAACACAACCGCAAACTGCACACGGGGAACAGGTGTATGAATAATTTTCTTTCTTATTACTGATTACTTCTGTACCTCTTTTTACACGTTGACGATAAAGCTCGTAATGACTCTGTTTTGCTCTCCACCTTGAGCCCTTTTGAACATGACCCCTCAATGACAATCACAAAGCCACTTCGGTGACCGTCCGCTGCCTGCGCAGTTATCACAACCTTTCGTTGATGTGGTGACATCAACCCTTTCCCTCAAGAGTCTCAGTAAGCCATTCACAGGGCCTACCTTGATCTCTGCACAGTAGGAGGGATTATCGTAACGTACAGATGACATGTAGCTGGAAGTCAAACAAAGCGTTCCTCATCCCTTTGTGAAGGCTGACACACACAGAAGCACATATGCCAAATTCCAACAACATCATCGACGATTAATTGTTCTCACCCCGTGTCATATTGAATAATGTAAATTATGTACTGTACACTTCGGACACAGAATCTGCTGGTGCGGTTGTGAGGATGAAGCGGAGTTACCGCAGTGGAATGGACTAAAAGAGAGAGTGAGTAGAAAATATATATGTTTTCTTAATCAAAACTACTGTATTTTCGACACGATAAGGCATACCAAAAATCATTCAATTCTTTCAAATGCTGACAGAGCGCCTTATACTCCGAAGCGCCTTATAGTGTGCAAAATACGGTACACCCTTCAACCTTTTTCATACAGTATGCTTAATTGACAATAGTACTATCATAGCACTGCAGTCAGTCTTAACCGAAAAGAATGCAGTTGAGATGTGGAGAAAACGAGTCACAATTCATCACGTCGGCGTGAGATCTAAAGCAGTTTCAAATGGCAAAACAAAATGTAACTATGGATTGATATTCTTATTTTATTTTTCTATATTATAT